GGCTAAATAAGCTCTTGCACGTGCTGAGACCTTTTTGATGAAAGGTCTTATCTACTGCTCTATCTCGCAAAGTTATATTAAGGTAATTGCATTAATAAAACATTTTTAAAGAGCATTAACAAAGGAGAAAGAGATGCTGCTATTCCAAAGTAAACGTTTCCATAACGAACTGAGAATCAGGATATGATAATGCTATGCTTATGCAGTCCTTCCTTTACTTTGGATGCTGATTATACCCCAAAGATCCCCGCTGGAGCTGAGATCCCTACTGTGCAAAGTGTGGTAGAAGAAGACATACAGTCAACGAGATACGGAGGCCTGAGCTGAAGGATTAGAGATGATTTGTGGACAAAACAAAGCAATGAATTTAAGGTACAGCAGAAGGAAACATGGGGAAGAAAAATAAAGCAGAACTCCCGGAGCGAAATCCTGGCTCTTTTGCAGTGGAGATTTTGCCCTAGGCTTTAAGGAGGCTCGAATTTCCCCTTTCCCTTTTGCACCGTTCACAGTGTGCAGGGTGAACGGTGCCAAGAGATCGCTTGCCTCACAGGGGCAAGAGATCGTTCTCCATTCCTCAACAGCCTGGTTGTGATTGACGCCGGGGACAAACCTCTAGACGTCATCTGAGGACTGACTTTTTGAGGGAGGATGGGTTTGGGCAGGGAGGAGTGCAGGTGGAAGTGAGGACAAGAGTTCTGCTTTTGACTTGGAGAAAGAGGGCACCACACAACGGAAAACCCCTGTCCCATGGGTCCCACGGCCACTGGGACTCACTGGCCTGCAGTCTGTACGGTCTAAGAGTAAGGGAATACTTCAAGACGTCAACTTGACAACGTCTCGTGAACCCATCATCCGTGTCCCAGCATCGGTGTTTCGCTACATACCTGAAGGCACAGGGAGAACATTATTCTGGGGACGCCTGTACGCGGTGATGCAAGAACGAGGACATTCACAGACGCGCTCATGGACTTTTCAAACCGACAAGCTAATCTTTTTCGGAAGGCTCCTAACTGTGGCTACAAATGTACCTTGAACCCTGCTGTAAATTACATTTTTCAAATGTGGGGAGGCGTGTTATTTTCTGTCAGTAAGTTATGTAGCAGAGTAAAAACTAATCAGCACTTAGGAAAACTGTTGTCTCTTTGACATTCGCACGATTTCTCCATAAGCTGCCAATGAACATTCATCAAGCTTGCAGTACACTGTCTCCTTAAGTTTACATAAGCCTCTGTCTGGGAACAGTCATTGAAAACACAACCATGAGTATTCATGACAACTGAGACCACTTTATTTGTTTTTTGCTTGTTTTCTCCCCTGAGGCAGAAAGGGGAAGGTCAACAACCTCCCCCAAAGATCTCTGCTCTCACAGGTGAGCCTGTGGCACTTGCACCTTGGACCTTAACCTCTGCAATGGAACCCGAAACACAGCCGACGTGAGGGGGAAAAAGGGGTTAGGCGACCCCAAGAGTCACCGCCAGACCACTCCAGAGACAACGGAGGGACCTCACACCTGCAGCACCCGTCACACCTTCGCTGCAGCCACCCACGGGGCTATAAGCCTGATCTTCGGTCCCTGGGGAAGAACGGAGTGGTCCCGAGGGAAGGGATTCCCAGAGGCCGAGGAGGAGAGAAATGAAAAACGAGGCTGGCAAAGAGAGATATGCATGCCACTAAAAGTGACCAGGCCTCCCCCTCCTCCTGCACGCTCCTCCTCGGGAGACAGGTCAAACTCTTGAACGCTGGAGAGCAACCTATGCATTGGACGTATTTGAGTCGCATCTTGAGTCACACGAGGGAGACCTCTCTGATCTTTTCTGCCGCTCGTTTCCCAGGCTCCGGGCAAACCTCAGCCTTACTGAAGTCCCAGGTAAGATGGCCAAAGGGAACTAGCCAGGCTCCACAAGGGCAGCTGGGGCCCAAAAGCCATGAGGATCTCACAGGATCCATCACGGAGCTATGGAGATCCTACATGGGCTCACTAAACCATCTGTAAGGGACACAATGATTTACAGTGCGTACAGAAAAGCTATTACTGAGTTGAGCTCTTCATTTGAACTTCAGTTAAGCATTTCATTCGTATGTGTTAACGATTTAGGGGCCCAAACATAAACATTTGGACAGCTGTCGAAATTAGATGGCTTGTTGTCCTGTTTATATTTTGTGCTTACAATTGCTATGAGTCATAGCATTTACAGGCACAAACTCAGTGCACTAGAAGAAAGCCGAAGGATCAAGAAATGGGTTTTCTGCAACTACCCTTTTACCCTGAGATACTCACGGACATTGTCAGGGCTAAATAAAAAAAAAAAAAAAAGATTACATCCCATTTGAATTTTTCATCCCAAATCACTTTGAAGACATCGGAAGCCAAAAACAAGGCAGAAAAGTTATCCCAAATGGAAGCCTCTAACAAATTTTGACTAATTAGCCTATCCCAGATGTCTTCTATAGCTTACGTGAAATTTCCCAGGGAAAAAATAATTGCAATAGGTGCAAAGATCAGACAGCTGAAATTTCTAAAAGATGAGTCAGTCCTGCTAACATTAACACTGTAAGTACGAACGTGTGTGTGTATGCACATACACACACACACTTGCAAAAATAGATTTTTAAATGAAAGCTAATTTCAACTGTAACTAAGCAATGACGAGCCCTTCTGCAGATGATAAATTGGAACCTGGATATTAGCAAAAGTAAATTAACTGAGTGAAAGGGTTATGAGCTCAGACAAAATAGTGAATCCATTTCCACCACCATTTTTGAGTCAGAAGGAGGTTGGAAAGCCTCTCATCTCAGGCAAAGACAGACTGTGTGGAGCGGACCTGCGGAAGTCTGCAGACCATGTAAATTCCACAGGCCTAGAGAAGAGCAGAGCTCGGAGCCTATAAAACCTATGAGCTGTTCAGTTTTTCTTCTGTGGAGATAGCAGATAAAATCTTTGTTCTGTTGAAGTAAATAGGAAAATACTCAAGAGACTTTGATGAAGTTGAGATTTCACTTCATAGTGGCCATTTCCTGAATCTTCAGGTTGTCCTTCCTATAGCATTTCTAAGCTCATAGCGCATGGGTGCTGCTCCAGCTCCCAACATCTCTCTCTTTCTTTTTAATACACCCCTGGATCTGCCCAGTAATGTTGCTTTCCCTGAACTTGTTCCACTACTTGCAGGGAAAAAAAGAAGGTTTCACTATTTATTCTAGGTAAACACATACATTTCCAAAAATCAGTTTCTACTCTACCCTACGTTGTATCAAGCTCTCAGTAAAGCACAGGTCCAGGTCAAAAGCTTGACTGTGAACTAAAATAAATTTGAAGGATCTCACATTAGTCCTGAACCGCAGGTTACTACACGCGAGCGTGGCATGCCACCATCTATTTATTTTGCCTTTTTCTGAGGATACTGGAACTTTACTTTCCACACAGCACTCTGCAAGGTCCACACGGAAACCGCTGTTGTACAACAAACGGTGAATCAATTCTTACTCCTTTTTCTCGCGTTTTTTCCCTAAATTCTATTTCTCCGCCCTGTCATCCATTATCGGGGTGAGATTCTGCCTCTGAGTAAAAGTGATTAGTACTTTTGTACTGCTATGCCAGTATCAGGTGCCAGAGATACCTTTAATGAAAAGATCCATCTTACCGGTCTCCTCCTGCGTGCCTAAAACCTCTCCTAAAAAGACTCCTTACAACTGTCCCATGAGAATCTGACCATGCCCTTGATTTTACACATAGGTGGGATGCATAGCCACCAAGCAGGCAAACTCAGGACTATTGTCTTCAAGCATGCTGGCTGTGAAACGCAGTTGGACTGGGTCTTCTTAAAGCAACAAGAAACTGTTACTTAGGCGGTTCACAAAATCGGCATCTTCATATTCCTCTGCATAGCAGAGAACGGATTGATCAGGATGGTCCTCAAGGAGTTAGTTGCTCCTCTTACATTTGTTTTCCCTGGTGTTTAAGACGCTAGACTCTCTTGACTACACTGAGTTATTCCAGTTACAGATGGACCGAAAAAGATCAGCATAAACCATACACGACAGAAAAAAAAGGAACTAAACAGCACTTTCGCTGAAAATGGCAGAGAAGACTATCTGGGAAAAAGGAAAATGTGATCTGTGTTACCGAGAACCTGTGAAATACAAAAACCTATAGGGAATTATTCTCATTGTCAGCAGAGAAAATAAATTGGCAAGTGTGTAATGAGATCAGGCGCACAGCCATGAAGAGTTATAGGCTGTCCTTAATTATGGAGGCATGAATCTTGAAGCCACCTGACCTGGGTGAATAAACTCGTGTATACCTACTGCTTTTACAGAGCCTGTTCTGGATTGTGAAAGGCTGTTTTCCTTGGTAGAATTGAAAACACGTAATCTCGCTTATAAGAATAAGAGATACAGCTTGTGCTAGGGCAATGATTTTTGAAAATCTGGTCTTATTTTTAAGATGCATTCCAGAAAGGTTTCTCAGTACTTTCATCACCACATTCCCAATGGGAACTCAACCATCACAATTAAACCACATACTTCTCATTACTTGAAATGATTACCTGTTTAGAAATTCATCTTTTGCCGTTCTAGACAGCTTTGATTATCAAAGTTGCACTAGAAATATTAAATATAGGTTGCTATCTGCTTACTTGTGTTCTTACATCATTACGAATGCCAGTTCTCAGTACCATGCCATCAATTTGTGTTATCCAAATTTGAAAAGGGGTTCTTGAAAAGCACTCAGTATTGATTTAACGCCCTTTTTACAGATGCTGTCGCTAAGCCAATCTGACTCACCCTAGGGGCAAACAAGGAGGTTGTCTAGAGGAGCAGAATCGGAGGTCTCACGCGCTTCACTAGGTGTATGCGAGGGGTGCGGTGGCCTGCACCACAGCTAAAGAAGGCCTTTGATTTTAGCACTAGTTTAACAGAGATAAGCAGGCACTGACAGTCCCCCACAGGAACACACATCATATTACACACTAATATTAAACACTGAAGAAGGGGTTTCATACCTTAAATTCCTCCAAGATTTTGTAATTTTTCCCATGATATTCACAAAAGTTTTTCACTTCTTTGCATTCCGGACAGCATCCGTTGTGTTCCACTTTTGTACACTTTGGGTGGATTTTGGGGCATTCCGGTTGATCACAAACAGGTCCGTCCTCAGTACAGACACAGGGACAGTTGGAATGTCCCGGGAAAAACCGTTCTCCCAGTTTGTACACAAAGCCACTGTCATCCACACAGCCCTTCCCTCGGTAGTCATCAAAGATCAGATTGTCATTACTTGAGGTCTGGTCCCCTTCATCGGCAGGGTAGTCTTCATGGTTGATGGCAGCTGGAGTGACCAAACCAGGGATGAGAAACAAAAGTATCCAGGCTTCATGAATATGAAGAGCCATCCCCCTCCTCAACTTCTCCATGGGGTCTCAATGCCACATATAAACAGCTGCTTCCATAGGGAGACCAGTGCAGTGGTCTGAAAAGAAAGAGTTTTAAGTGAGAACCCTCAAAATATGAAGGAATATTGCCTTATAAAGACCATTTCAGCCAGCACCTAAGGATAAATCAGGGCTTTCAAAATACACAGATAACAATCAGTGCTTCATCTGCAATAAGCCTCTTCTCCTCAGTTACTTCTAAAGAGAATAAAGCATAGCAAATACATAAATTAGACACACATGGCTGTATACATATACTCACAAAATATCGCCATGCAAATGGTGCCTCACAGAACCATCCAATTTTTTACTCTCCTCACTTGTACAATTGAGTTTTCAGATGTACGAAAGTTAAATTAGCTGCCTGAAATGGCATGCCGAAGGGGCAGTTCAGAGGGTTTTGAACCCTAGTTTAAGCACGGTCCTAACCTCCTCCAGAAGCCACTGCCCCTCTGTGCTAGGCACAGCACACAGTTCACTTCATTAAAGCGAGGTGGAAAACGAGGTAAGCATCATCTGGAGTTAGATCTGCGTCCAGGACCAAAGACAACGCTGGGCTGACTTGGTCGGAGCAGCAAAAAAATTTCAGATGTAGCATTTCTGATGAGGAAGAGGGACTGCTCGGGCTAACAACATCAGCCCAGCTTGCCCGGGAGCTCTGTAATCCCTCCAGAAGCAAACAGGCAATTTACCATTTCCATTATTCAGCATTTTAGCAATTCCCAGCCAGAAGCTCAGGGACGAGTCCATTCAGATGTCTGTGTCATGCCTGCAGCCACTGGCCTGCGCCTGCCCAATCAGGCTGGAGCCGTCCGAAAACTTTGGGAGTGATGCAGGATGCCCCGACCCTTGGAGAGCTCGGCTTAAGCGGTCGAGATGACGACCGATGGGGAAAGGCAGGCAAGCCCTGCTCCGCTCCCAGGCTAGCCGAGAATACAGGCTCAGCACATACTAAGTCTTGGGTAGGCTATTGGCTGCACGGGGTGCCACAGCACTGTCACCAACACACTGTCCTTTCCTGCACATCGGCGAGAAGGCAGCGCGATCCCAGCAGGAAAACGGTTTCTGATCTAGCTTAACGCACCCGGGCAACACCTGGCTGCTCTACGAGCCCAAGCACGCACAGGAAACTTTGCCATGAGATGAAATATCAGGGCTGTATTGCTCGAGGATGATGCAGGTAGTTCCTGGCACGGACCGAAAATGGATTGTTTGTATGTGCGTGCTGTTCTTGCTCTTCCTGCCTTCTCATAGTGTGTACGCACACACAATACACACACATGCACTAACCCGACACAGACAGACACGTACTCCCCCTTCGCTCCCCCCCCCCCGAAGGTGTTGGTATGCGTTCGGATTTTTGGTGGGCTGCAGATGTTCAACAATTAATTCTCTTCGTTTGCGGAAAAAAAGCAGCTGCAGCAGGAGAAAGCTTTAATCTCACAGTAGCAGCTAAGGGATCCTGTTGACAAGGCAGTTTTTTCAAAGCTGCAACAGAGGGAGACACCGGATATTACACAAGCTTTATCAAATTCAAGACAGAGCTTCTTAATTGAAGGACTAGCTGTGTTTCCATCACAAGAACTAGGCACTGTGTTTACTATCGGCAGTATCTGTTGTAGCACGTTGTTTGGAAATTGGGTGATTCCGGCAGATAAGGCTCCTTTACGTATGTAGAGAGTGAGGAGCCTTGCCCACCCAAGCGCTACAGGTAGGTATCAATATTCCAGATCGGTGGCTATTTCAGAAAAAAAAAAAAAAAAAAGGCA